GTTTTTTAGTCTCTATGTTGTTTATTTCTGCTCTGATCTTTACTATTTCCTTCCTTCCATTTGCTCTGGGTTTTTTGTTTGTTTGTTTGTTTGTTTGTTTGTCTTCTAGTTCTTTAATTTGTGAGGTTAGTCAATTAGGAATTTTTCTTGTTTCCTGAGGTAGGTCTATAGTGCTATGAACTTCCCTCTCAGGGCTGCTTTTGCTGCATCCCATAGATTTTGTGTTGTTGTTTGTTCATTTTCATTGGTTTTCAGGAAGTTTTCAATTTCTTTGTTGATCTCCTTGGTAACCCATTCATTGTTTAATAACATGCTAATTAACCTCCGTGTGTTTACCTGCTTTTTTGTGTTTTTGTTGTAAATGATTTTTTATTTTATGCCATTGTAATCTGAGAATATGCTTGATATGATTTCAATCTTCTTGAACTTGTAGAGACTTCGTTTGTGTCCTAACATGTGATCTATCTTTGAGAATGTCCCATGTGCACTTGAGAAGAATGTGAATTATGCAGTTTAGGGGTCTAATTCTCTGTACATATCTATTAAATCCATTTGATCTTGCACATCTTTTAGCATCTCTGTATCCTTGTTAACTTTTTGTCTAGCCTCTAGAGGATCTATCCAGTGATGTCAGCGAGGTGTTGAAGTCCCCTGCTATGATTGTGTTGCTGTCGATTTCTCCTTTGAAGTCCACCAGAAATTTTTTAAATATATTTTGGTGTTCCTATATTGGGTGCATATATGTTTACCAAGGTTATATCTGCCTGTTGGATAGATCTTTTCAATACTATGTAGTGGCCTTCTTTGTCTCTAGTTATGGCCTTCATTTTGAAATCTATTTTATCAGATATGAGTATTGCTACCCCAGCTCTTTTTTCCTTTTCATTTGCTTGAAAGGTTTTTTTCCATCCCTTCACTTTCAACCTATGTGAGTCTTTTGTTGTGAGGTGGGTCTCTTGTGAACAACACATATACAAGTCATGCTTTCTTATCCAATCAGCTACTCTGTCTTTTGATCAGCACATTTAATCCACTTACACTTAAAGTTATTATTGATATGTACTTATTTATTGCCATTTTGTTTATTGTGGTTATATTTTTCTTCCTATTTCTTCTACTAGTAATAGCAGTCCTTTTAACATTTCTTGCAGTGCTGGTTTGGTACTAATATATTCCCATAGCCTTTTTTTCTCTGGGAAGCTCTTTACTTCACCTTGTATTTCGAATGATAGCCTTGCTGGGTAGAGTAGTCTTGGATTCAGATCCTTGTTTTTCATGACCTTGATTACTTCATGCCATTCCCTTGTTTCCTGTGTTTCTGTGCAGAAGTCAGCTGATAGCCTTATGGGGGTTCCTTTGTAGGTAACCTGTTGCTTATCTCTTGCTGCCTTTAGGATTCTCTCCTTGTATTTAATTTTTGGCCTTTTAATTATTATGTGTCTTGGTGTGGGCCTATTTGGGTTCTTCTTACCTGGGGCTCGCTGTGCTTCTTAAACTTGTATGCCTATTTCCTTCACCAAGTTAGGAAAGTTTTCTGTCACTATTTCTTCAAATATATTCTCTAACCCTTGCTAATTGTCTTCTTCTTTTTCTGGAATTTCTATAATGCCAGTGTTGTTAGTTTTCATATTGTCCCACAATTCTCTTAGGCTGTCCTCCTGTTTTTTTCATTGTGTTTTCTTTTTGGTTCTCTGATTGGGTGATGTTTTCTATCCTGTCTTCTAATTCACTGATGTGATCCTCAGCCTCCTGTACTCTCCTAGTTATTCCTTCCAATGTGTTCTTTATTTCTGCTATGTCATTATATATATATATATATATATATATATATATACACACATATATTTATCTTCACCCAAGGACATTTTTTGTTGTTGTTGTTGTTCAGATAGAGTGGGAGAGAGAGAGAGAGGGAAACATCAATGCGAAAGAGACACATCGAGTGGTTGCCACTCGCACAACCCAATCAGGGCCAGGGACAAACTGCAACTGAGTTACGTGCCCTTAGCGGGAACCAAACCCAGGTCTCTCTGGACCGCAGGCCAACGCTCTAACTGCTGAGCCAAACTGGCCAGGGCTCTCCTATGTCATTCTTCATTTCCACTTGGTTGGTTTTCAGTGCTTCTATATCTCTGCTCATGCTGTTGAGCTTCCTCATGATTATTACTCTGAACTCTCCCTCTGATAGCTTGTTCAATTCCCTTTCATTTATTTCATCTTCTGTCGAATTATCTTGTTCTTTCATTTGGGATTTATTTTTTTGTTTCACCATTTTGGCTCTCTTATTGGGTTTTGGAGCCTGCCCAATTTTCCCTGTGGGTGTTTGTGTTCCACTGGTTGTGGCTCCCTCTACTGGGTTTGGTTGATTGAGGGAGGACCCATCTTAAACACCACTGTCAAGTCTTACTTTTCTGGTTAGATCTGCAAACCCAGGAAAGATTCAGTTATCTTGTAGCTTTTTGCCTGCAGGTTATTAGTCTCGGTTACTTGATGAGCCTTGGGTTGTAGCCCTCAACTGAATTAAAAAAATCTCTCAGTTGTTCAGGGTAATAGGATTTCCAAAGGGTGGGCAGATGCTTGCTGGCTGTTAATGAGCCTCAATTTGAATTTCTCTCCTCTGGCTGGGTGGTATTAAATTCCCGAGGATGGGTTTGTTGCTTCTCCCTGGGGCTCAGGGAAGGGGCTCTTTGAGCAAGATGGCTCCTGCCCTGTGAGGGAATGACTCAGCAGAAAACTCCCACTGCTGTCCCAGCTCTCCAAGCTCTCCAGGCTCCCAAGTCTGTCCACACAGCTCCAGTCCAGTTTACCCTCCCTCTGCCAGAGCCCAAGGTGAGTGGCTGCAGCTCTGTCCCAGCCCTCTGCACTGTGGAGCTGGCTTGGAATTTTAACCCCAAGGGAGCTGCTCACAGCTAAAACAACTGCTGTCCATCGGCTCCCAGCCCATACTCTCATGCCTCTGCAGTTCCTACCAGGCTGGATTTTATGTCATCTTTCTGATTGTGGTTATATTGGTCCTCTCCAGGTGATTTTTGTTGTTTTTTTCCAATAGTTTGTCTTTATTATACTTGTAATTTCAATTTGGTCCCGGGAGATGGTCTGTGTAGCTTCCACTCACTCTGCCACCATTTTTGAATCTCCCTGACTCTGTATTTAATTATATTAAGAAAATATTAAATGTCTGTTTAGAAGTGAGTATGGTATTGTGACGATATTAGAGTTTTGTAAAGTGTGTGTGTGTGTGTGTGTGTGTGTGTGTGTAAAATAAATGATTTAGAGGCCTGGCTGGTGTGGCTCAGTGGTTGAGTGTTGACCCATGCACTAAGAGGTCACTGGTTCGATTCCTAGTCAGGGCACTTGCCCAGAGTGCGGGCCCGATCCCCAGTGGGGGGGCATACAGGAGGCAGCCAATCAATATTCTCTCTCATCCATGTTTCTATCTCTCTCTCCCTCTCCCTTCCTTTCTTTGTAAAATCAATAAAGACAAAAAAATGTTTTAATAAATAAATTACTTAGAGATGAAATTATATGAAGTCTGGGATTCAGTTCAAAATAACATGGGAGAGACTGCAGCCAGCAGGGGTATGAGTAAAATAGAATTGTTCTTAAGTTGGTCATTGTTCAAGTTGGGTGATGGTCTTTTTTTTTAATTATTTTTTTTTTCTTTATTGATTTTAGAGAGAGGAGAGAAGAGGGAGAGAGAAATAGAAACATCGATGAGAGAGAACATTGATTGGCCAGCTCCTGCATGTCTCCCACCGGGGATTGAGCCCACAACTTGGGCATATGCCCAGACCAGGAATCAAACCACAGTACTCTTAGTGCATGGGTCAACACTCAAAAACTGAGCCACACCAACCAGGCAGGGTGATGGTCTTGTTGTGCTATATTTTATTTTGATTTGCCATATACTAAAATTTTTCTATGATAAAAAGCTTTTCAAAAAAGAGTAAATTTATTAAAGTTACTTTAAACTCACATTAGAAAATCATATTTTTCAAAAAACACTTTAAAAATATTAAATGAAATAAGAAAATCTAAAATTGTACATAAGGTACTGTGTATACATATATATTTACACATGCATGTAAATAGAAGACAAAACTACACAAAATGTATATCCCTGGCTGGAAAGAATACATATTAATTTTCTTTATTCATTGTTACTTTTTTGTATTTTTCAAATTTTCTAAAAAGAAAATATGTTTATGAAGTGTGTGCATAGTGTGTCTTTGTAGTGAGATACTAACTGCTTAAGAAATAAGGATGTTTTAGTTAATCCATAGAAGAGATATAAAGAGGAGCATTTTAACAAGTACAATCTCTTTGAAAAATGGATCAAACTACTGAACTCAACATATTAGATGTGTTTGTAAATAAACCAGTGGCATAAAAAAAATTAAAATACAGTAAAATAGAATTATGTTGTTAATGGTGATTATTTCTGGGTGGTGACATTATTGGTCATTTCAAATTTTGTTTCTCTTTCTCTGTATTTTCTTTCATTAATAAGTATAATATGATCAGAAAAATATAGCATAAAATATTAAAGCTAGATTTATTGTACTTATTTATAAGTAAAGGATTATATAGGGCAATATGACATACAAGTATAAGGAACTATATATTATATATAGTCAATATATTATAAATTATTATATTATAATTAATAGTTAACTATATAATATAATTAAATGTTGCAACTACATATTATAGTATATATAATATACCATTACCATATAATAACTAAGTTCGAGAGGAATTTAAATTTTCTTTGAAAGTATATGTTAAGCTTTTAAACAATGTGGATGTAAAGTAATTAAGAGAATTATCAGTCCAGGGGAAGTAATTCCAAGGGAATTTTAAATTGTCACTGCAAGTATGTGTTAAGCTTTTATGTAACATTGATGTGAAACACTTTGCACGGCCACCATTAAGTGTCGATGCTCTTGCCTTCATGTACTCAGTTTCCTAATGATGTTTCATTTTCTGTCCACTTCCAGGTATATCCATGCCAATACCAGTCTTCGGGCTACAGGATGATTCCAAGGTCTTTAAGGAAGGGAGTTGCTTAATTGCTGACGATAACTTTGTCCTGATCGGCTCCTTCGTGTCATTTTTCATCCCCTTAACGATCATGGTGATCACCTACTTTCTAACGATCAAGTCACTCCAGAAGGAAGCTAATTTGTGTGTGAGTGATCTTGGCACACGGGCCAAATTAGCTTCTTTCGGCTTCCTTCCTCAGAGTTCCCAGTCTTCAGAAAAGCTCTTCCAGCGGTCAATCCACAGGGAGCCAGGGTCCTACGGCAGGAGGACTATGCAGTCCATCAGCAATGAGCAGAAGGCTTGCAAGGTGCTGGGCATCGTCTTCTTTCTGTTCGTGGTGATGTGGTGCCCCTTCTTCATCACGAACATAATGGCTGTCATCTGCAAAGAATCCTGCAACGAGGACGTCCTCGGAGCCCTGCTCAACGTGTTCGTGTGGATCGGTTACCTCTCCTCCGCAGTGAACCCGCTGGTGTACACACTGTTCAACAAGACCTACAGGTCAGCCTTTTCGCGGTATATTCAGTGTCAGTACAAGGAAAATAAAAAACCCTTGCAGTTAATTTTAGTGAACACTATCCCAGCCTTGGCCTACAAATCTAGTCAACTACAAAAAGGACGTAAAAAGAATTCAAAGAAAGATGCCAAGACGGCGGGTAAGGACTGCACTATGGTGCCTCTAGGAAAACAAAATTCAGAAGATGCCCCTACAGACAGTATCAGCACAGTAAATGAAAAGGTTAGCTGTGTGTGAGAGACTAGTTGCCATGGCAACCGTGGAGGGCACTGAACAAGTTTTCACCACTGGAAAAAATGAAGAGGAGAGAATAGAGAGACTGGAAAATATTAGGCGGGTCCAGTGGAACCAACAATGGTATCTGATGCCTCGTTTTATTCCATCAGTTAAAAGCAGGGTTAAAGGCCACAAATGTGCACTTCAAACATGTCTGACAGCATTTCAGCTGGGAGCTTTATGATACTTATTTTTAACATTGTAAATGATATGTATTTAAAATAATTAGTTTTTATTGGATAATTATAATGAGGCTACACATAAATCTAAATTAACTTCTGTTTTCAAGTGGAAACCTTGCTATTATGTTGTTAATTGATGGCATGAGTTGGTTACCTACTGCTGTAAATAAAAATAGCTATAATAGTGAAAAGTTGATTGAATACTATGGCCTCTTAAAGAAAAATTCTCTTTAAAACTTACCATGATATGTGTTTGGAACAACAACAGAAATAAGTCACCAAGAACAGTGCTATGAAGTCAGTATTGCTAAGATAATCAAATGAAACACTTGACAACTTTCCCGTCCTGCTTTTGCATAGATGCCATTTTGAAATAATCACGTTGCTGGCGTTTGCTGCATTTCAGGTTAATTCTTCTCAGAAGTGAATAAGATTTTAAGTGTTATTTCATAACTATTGCTGCTTTTCTTCTACCACTTGTGCTTTACTCTGCATTTAAAATGTGACCTTGTTTCGGGTTTGCTCCCCTAGCTGTCCTATCCAAAGGATCATTTAACATTACCAAATACATTTCTGGAAATTGCTTCTCCTCCGCAGCGCCACAGAGGTGGTTGGTGACTCTCCCTGACTGCATTGTGCATGCTGTCTTTGAGCCACCAATATCGATGTAACTGTCAGGACTGAGGAGTAAACTCAGGTTTTTGGCTACCGACAGCAATAGAGTGTTCGGACTTCTCTGTAAGATGCAGACAACTTTCCTATGGCCACCCCTCCATCAGTCAGGCAAACTAATGCTTTCAAAGCAATTGTCTATATTATTTACTGTTCAGCTTTGGTTTCATAATCATCTACGAATATATATTACCTAGGAGGAAATATCCTAGGTACTAAGGGTATGAAAATAATTAAAATAAGATCTTTGCCTTTCAAGAACATGGCCTAATTATAATGATTCTTGTCAAAAATATTAACAAACTTATTTTGAGAATCAATTAAATTTATTTCTTTTTTTACCTGGTTCAGAAAGTGGTGTGTTTCTGAGGGTAGTTTTCTCAATAATTTTCCTGATGCATATCAACCTAACAGGAAAGGGAAAATATCTCTTGAGGTCAAATTTTATACTTAGTTTAGAAATATGTGCTTCAACCTGGACCCAACCTATGACTACCAAAGTTTTGAGGAAAATATTTATTCCACTTCCCTAAAAACTAACTCGTTTATTACCCATTGACACCGAACCCCTTAATTTTTAAAAAGCAGTAATATTATATTTTCTATTGAATGAGAAATAGTTGTTTGCTGTAAGCCATTTGGAAAAAAAAAATTATGGATTTGAAAACTAAAGAACATGGGAGGTGCCACTGTGTCATGTGGAAATGCATTAGGGCTATCATAATTATGTCTGTATAGATACATTAAAAGGTATTTCATTCAAAGCTAGAATTTATGATAAATTGCTAGTATCAAGGTTGTATTTGATCTGAACTACTTTAATGATTATACCATACTAACATAAAAATAAAAGTGTTAAAAAGTCTCTGGTCTTATGCATTTTGCCTTAGTTTATAACTTTGAAAATTTCATTATATATTAGAGATTACAGATTCTACCCATATACTCAATCTTGATCAGAATGAACGAAAATACTGCCTGACAGATGTCTTTTGACTATATATATATATTGCAAATGTGTATGTTTTCCTCCCCATATGTATCTATTCAAGTGTATATAATAGAGAAACATATATCTGCATATATGTACAGACCTGTTCTCATGCACTTTATTTGATATTTATACATTTATATGGAGGAAAAGTAAGAGTCATTAATGGAAACACTTAGTATGTACATATGTGTGCATGTTTATGTCATTTTGATTTTAATGTGAATTCATGTTCTAATGTTTCTATGACTTTCCATTGCTGTCAAAGCAGATTAAAATGTAATAAGTATCAGTTCTTTAAATAAACTGGAAGTTGACCTAATTTTATGGGAAGACTGTAACACAATTCTATGATGATTGGGAAAACAATGGTCTTCCAATATAGTTGATTGATCTTAAATAAAATGATACCTTCTACCCTGGCCGGTTTGGCTTGGTGATGACAGTCGGCTGCAGACCAAGCAGTCTGGGATTTGATTCGGCCAAGGGCGCGTACCACACTTGAAGTTCATCGCCAGACAGGGTCCTGTGGGAGAAGCCAATCAATGTGTCTCTTGCATTGATGTTTCTCTCTCGCTCTCGCTCTCGCTCTCGCTCTCTCTCCCTCTCCCTCTATCTGAAGATAAATGGGAAAATGTCCTCAGGTGAGGATTAAAAAAATAAAAAGAAAGATACCTTCCGGCCCTTTGTTCTGACTACTAAGGCTTTTTAAATACACCTCTCACCCCAGTAAAACGCAGTCCTTGAATGATTAATGGAGCTCTACTTTAAAAACTCAGTCCTAGTCAATACTATTTAAATAGAGTGACCAACCTTAAGTTGGATAGTATATTATTCTATATTTCAAGAAAGATTAAATAACATAATTAGGGAAAACTCAGTTTAAAACATACTTAATCGCTTAGCCACAGCGCCATCTCGTGGTCATTTTTTAAAGTGCTGCCATAGCCAAATGGAACTAAGTTACTGTGCTGCTTTGGCAAAGGGTGCTTCTCCCATTTGTGCATCAATGAAACATATTTATAAAGTGTTAAATTATTCTGTGTCATATGTAATAAAAAGTTAAGATTATTTTATGTAATTATTTTAATCAAATCTAAAAGATTTCAAGAATGAATAATTGTAAATAAAGTATACTAAAAAATTAATGCAATTTTATGAGTCCATAGTTGTGTCTACTGAAGACAGTTGCTCAAAACCTTCCAGGTTGGGAACTCCAAGTACCACTGAAATACTTTGAGAGCACAAAGCCTGTGTTTCTGGAGCTCAGTCACAGAGCTAGGACCCACCTGGCTGAGATAGAGCCTATGATCTAGTTTCCATTTATCTTCAGCAGATAAACGTTCCATGTTTGATCACTATGTCTGGATCCACAAGGCCTAGGAAGACAGACAACCAGCTGCTGCTGTGCCCACAGACAGGCACACATGCACCTGTGAATACATTTGCACAGGTGTACCCTAAGACATGCTCAGTGTATTCACACTCACATTTTCACAAGAGCTAGTTTCAAGAATTAAAGTAAATCAAGAAGACACTGTATCATTGAATAAACTGGAACGTTGCCCTCATGGGTCATTTCACCTTTAAATATAGGAAAATTCTATGAACTAGGAATAGTAGGTTCTTTTTTATGTGTTTTTGCTCTATGTAGTAATTACCCGCCATGTCCAGACATTAAGCTGGTTGCTTGCTTGCTTCACCTGACAGAACCCTCACATCAAGTCCACAAGGTAGCTATTGTTATTCCCTCTCTTCCACAGATGAAGAAGCTGAGATTCAGGGCACTTAGTAACATGCCCAAGGTCACACAGCCGGCAAGAAATGCGGCAAGTCCAGGCCTGGGTTACCTGACTCTGAACCATAACTGTCTTCCTACGCAGGCCAGGAGAGGAGAAGGAGCCTGGGTTCAGAATCCACGCGTGCCCGTCCCTTTCTTCGCTGTCCTGCTCGCTGGTTCGTAAACCTGGACAAGTCGCTTAATAACTCTGTGCCTTGATTTTATTGTCACTGTTCTGGCTAACAAAGTCACTTAAATGAGATCATGGTTATGACCAAGCTTGTTAACTTGTAAAACACTCTGCAAATGTTACAAATGTGTTATTAAAAACAAAAATATCTATATATTATTAGCCATCAGAGCAAATTCTAGACAAAAATTATGAGATAGGCAATATTATTATCCAACAGAGTCTACTATCCTCTTTGTGGATGCTTTTCATTTCTAAAAACGTTTGTTTCTGCTCTGTCCTTGCTGTGATGTAGAGTTCCTTTCCTGGGTCCTTTTTTCTTCTGCTTCCATCAAAACATATTGATTTTATGTCCCATTCCCTCAGGTTTCTTCTCTGCTGGAGCACGAATAAGTAATTCAAGCTGATAAATCATTGTCTATGACTGAGATCCCTATAGCTGTTCGCCACAATGATAATCCCAAAGGCAAAACTTTTAGGCACCAGGGAGGCAAGTGAGAAAGAGATTTGGGGGCTTGAAGTGTTCTCCTGGTATGGTGCAAATAATCCACAGGGAAAAAAATCAAGTACCTCAGACACTACATAATTTATATAATCTTTTAGAATTTAACATTGAATTTTAGTTTACAATAATAATGATTTTGAAAGAAATATCTGTGGATTTTATTCTAAACTGAGAATATTAATAATAATGTTCTAAGCTCTTAGTAATAATAATATTACTAAGCTCTTTCTCAAGTTTTATAGACTATGGATATTTGCCCCAGTAAATATGCAATAAGACAAAACTTCTTTGTTAATTTTTTTATTATTTTTGCAGGTGCCTTGCAAAAACCAATGGTTTCCCTGTTTTCCCTCAATGGTATACACACCGATCCTAGTGCTCTTCCACCTTTTTGATGCTTAACATCAGGGTGTCTACCTGAGCCAGCACATCAGGGACGCTGTCAGGCCAGCTGGCGCCTCGGGTTGCTGTGAGCACGCATCACAGCAGACGACTGAGGCAGGAATCCTGGGTCTCGGCCACTGCGCTGTCCTGCCCGGACAAGGCAAAGTCTCTTCTCCCTCAAACTCAGTAATCTTTGTGGGGTCTCTAGGTCTATGCTTATCTGCATGTTAAGGAATCCAGTCAATCATATGAACAAAGACACAGCTTCATGTGGAAAGAATATTCGGGAACTCAACAACGCTCACATTCTCTTAAATTCTTTAGATGGATCGCAAATAAATGAGAGCTTTCACTTTCATATGGGAATCTTAAGAGGAAAAAAAAATGTTAATGACCTGAGCAGTTTCTTCCATATGAGACCAAGAGTCAGGTGTGGATATAAGTGATCCCCACAGTAGCATCGCGCTGCTGGCCTCTCTTTGGCACAGTTGGGCTGGCTGCTCTGTTGAAGCGCCCGGGCTTCCTGAGAGTAAGTACTCTCCCTGTCCCCTGAGTCAAGTCCCTGAGCCGAGCTAGATTTCGAATTCGAAATAGTGATTTGTTGAAAG